GAGGGCTCAGCCATCTGAGCGGAGGCTGTATCCTGCCCTGGGTCGACCGTCCAGAGCAGCTGGCAGGACACAGTCAGGCAGCACGTGGAATGTGGGATCCCTGCCTCTGGGCCACACTGCCTCCCTGGAGCCAGCTGGGCACCCTCCCAGCCATGGCCCTGTGGCTGGAAAGCCTCTGCTCTGTTCTGGCACAGCGCCATGCAGGCTGCTGGGGTTGAGGCCAAGAAGGCAGATGCCCAGCCGGGCTCGGCGAGGGCAGGGCAGTGCCTGCGTGTGGATGAGGGGTGGGCAGTGCAGGGGCTCAGACCACATTCTTGCCTAAGCGGTGCCCACGCCCCAGAACCATCAAGATGCCACACCGCTGTTTCCTGAAACCCCCCAAGCCCTCAGCTCTTGCTATTCCTCCTCCCCCAGCCTGGACCAGCATGATTTGGAGAGAACAGGGATGTCCCAGTGACCAGGCCTTTCTGGGGACCTCTCCTTGCCCTTCCCTGGGAACCCCCCTAGGTGTCGAAGACTCTACCTGTGGGTGCCTCACAAAACAGGGGACCCCTCTCCACCCACCACCAGCCATCCCCTGCCCCCAGGAGGGTCCCAGTGGCTGCTGGGAAGGGAGATGCTGGGACCCCTCCAGCCTCCTGCCTCCCACCACCGGCTTCTCCCCACCCCCTCGGGGATCACAGCAGTGCCAGCTCCCAGGGCAGGCGCCACAAAAGGGAACCGCGGCTGCTGGAACCTCCGTTGCCATGGGGATGGGGACCACAGGACCCACATCTGGTAGCGATTGAGGAGGAAAAATTATGAGTCGTGGAAAACGCAAATATTTTTTGTAGCACAGAGCACAAAGGAGTGGGAGGAATGTGGGGACCAGGCCCAGCCTGGTTTCAAGCAGACGCGGCCCACGGCACACAGAGGCCTGCAGACACTAACCTTGCGCCACACGCGCTCTCCTCTAGACTCAGAAACGCCAACACAGACACACAGCCCGAAATGCAGACATGCACACACAAAGCCAGCAGAACCCCAGAAACACAGAGACAGCACACACACTGCAACACACACCCACACAGCACTGGGCCCAGAGGAACACAGCCACTCACCTGCCAACACACGCACACGACACTCCACTAGACCGAAACACTCACCCTCCAACACACACATACAATCCACCGCTCACAGAGATAGACGCGCTGCAACACACACACAGCCAGCCCACACTACTATGGAGGACACTTACCCCACAACACGCACATAACAATGGAAAAAAAGACTGACTCTGCAACATACAACATGTATCACCAGACACAGAAACACCGAGACAGAGACTCATTGCAGCACACACACCATAGGCCACAAAGAAACCACGAGAGAGACAACCCTGCAACATACACACTTCACCAAAGTCAGAAGCGTATATATCTCATACAAAATACACACTCATCCTGCACACATACATCTTCCACCAGATACACAGAAACATGACAGAAATACATTAAACACACTCGCCAAACACACCACCTGCAGCACATAGCTCACCACCAGACAGAAATGCAGATAGGCCGGGGGCAGTGGCTCACGCCTGTCATCCCAGCACTTTGGGAGGCCGAGGCAGGCAGATCACTTGAGGTCAGGAGTTTGAGACCAGCCTGGCCAACATGGTGAGACCCTGTCTCTACTAAAAATACAAAAAAATTAGCCAGGCGTGGTGGCGCACACCTGTAATCTCAGCTACTTGGGAGGCTGAGGTGGGAGAATTGCTTGAATCCAGGAGGCAGAGTTTTCAGTGAGTGGAGATCACATCACTGCGCTCTAGCCTGGGCGACAGACTGAGACTCCGTCTCAAAAAAAAAAAAAAAAAAAAAGAAAATGTAGACACAGACATGCACCCTGCACCCACCACACCACACTCACAGAACACACCTCATCCTGCAAAACACACACACACACACACACACACACACACCCTCTGACACACAGAAACTCCAAGAGACCCTCACTCTGCAACCATAGACACCTTCTGCCAGACACATAGAAACAGCAACTTACACAACCTGCAACACGCACATGTGCTGCCAGAGCCGACTAAATACTAAGACACACATGTCAGCCGACACACAGAAGTGTACCCATCCTACGGACAGATGGCATACACAGCATCCACGCCCTACTAGGCATGGAGGCGGGCACCCACCCTAAAATGCACTCACTGCGCTAGAAACAGATCATGAGGCCTGGCGTGGTGGCTCACGCCTGTCATCCCCACACTCTGGAAAGCCAAGGCAGGAGGCGCACTTGAGTACAGGAGTTCGGCTCGTATCTGTGGTCTTTCACCCTGCAAATACACACACAAACATGCCACCAGGCACACAGAAACACCAAGACACAATGGGAACACACACTGGGAACATGCAAACTCCTCCACACACCAGAACACGGAGGCTGCTGGCAGTACTGAAATTCATCTCAGCCCTGGGCTCCGGGGAAATGGTGCTGCTGAGAAATTGCCCCTTCCTTTGTGTTCTGAGAAATAGTGAGCCCAGAAGAAGCACTTTGCTCTTGTCCATTCCAAGACCCCGCCTCCAGCCTTCAGCATGAGTCTCTTATTTATCAGGTTGCTCCTTCCTCATCAGTGAATTTTCTTCCCATAGCAGTAGCCTGAATAAAGTCATCTCCTTATGTGTCTGGTACATTCCTCCAACAGTCGTTGTGCCTTGATGTGGCACGGGTTGGACTTACCTTTCTGTCCCCAATGACTGCAACCAGGTGGTGAGCCCTCTCTGGGACCCACAAGCCGCCCCTGACTGGCAATCAGGGTGGGGGACCTTCAGTGAGTGTGACCCCTGGTCGTGTGCTCCCAGCTTTTGTCCGTTGGTAGCATAGTGACAATTTTATTTTGATTCTTTCAGTTTCATGGTCTGACCATTTGGTGATCTTTTTAAACAGATTGGTGGTTTATAGACATCTTGTCTCTGTTGGGTGAGAGAGGACAGTGTGTGGTTTGAGAGTCTTTTCTGTTTGTTCATTTGTTTAGTTTAGTTAAAAATTTTGGGTGAGATTGGTGGCTCACACCTATAATCCCAGTGCTTTGGGAGGTGGAAGTGGGAGGATCACTTGAGGATAGGAGTTCAAAACCAGTGACCCCCATCTCTAATTAATAAATAAATAAATAAATAATTTAGCCACGCATGGTGGTGGTGTGCACCTGCAGTCCCAGCTACTCCGGAGGTTGAGGTGGGAGGATCCCTCAATCCCAGGAGTTTGAGGCGCACCACTGTACTCCAGCCTGGGCAACAGAGTGAGAACCTGTCTCTAAAAACTCCAAGAATTTGTCCCCAGTGGGAAGATGGTTTGGAGATGTGGTCAGCCACATACATGGATGGAGTTGTGTTGTCATGAATGCTTCATTTAGGTGGATTGGCTGTCATACGCACAGGTAAGCGACACACCCAACAGTTAGTATGCTTGAAAATAGGCCTGTAGCTGGGCGCGGTGGCTCCCACCTGTAATCCCAGCACTTTGGGAGGCCGAGACGGGTGGATCACAAGGTCAGGAGATCGAGACCATCCTGGCTAACACGGTGAAACTCCATCTCTACTAAACATACACAAAAAAAATAGCCAGGTGAGGTGGCGGGCGCCTGTAGTCCCAGTTACTCAGGAGGCTGAGGCAGGAGAATGGCATGAACCCAGGAGGCGGAGCTTGCAGTGAGCCGAGATTGAGCCACTGCATTCCAGCCTGGGTGGCGAGACTCCGCCTAAAAAAAAAAAAAAAATAGAAAATAGGCCTGTTCCTTGGGTGGAGCTAACATGCAGATGATTGGCAAAGCCTCCTGAGAAGCAGTGGGGTCAGGGCTGGGGTTAGGAGGGCAGAGGTCAGGGCTAGGGTTAGGAGGGCAGCCTACAAGAGTTGAAAACCACCTAGTGAATCTATGGTGGTTGGGCTGCTAGGGAGGAAAAGGAGGAGTGGGAAGGTGGGAGAAAGGCCTTTGACAGGGTTACAGTTGGAAGCAGGGTGTGGAGGAGTCGACCTGGGGCCAGCTCAGTTGTGTGGACGGTGGTCAGGTGTCATCCATCTTCGGGTGAGGTCATGGTCTGGATGAGTCCAGCTGCAGGGCTGAGGTCACTCACCTGGTAAAGAAGCTGGTTGGGGTGAGCTCCTGGGCCTCCCTGAGTTTGCAGTGACCTTCGCCCAATAATGGACCTCGAGACATCTGTGAGGGAGTCCTAGAACCACAGGACTGTGGTTGGACAGAGCTAGTGAAGAAGCCATTGTCCTGGCATCACACTGGGGATACAGTGATTCCAAAGCTGCCTGCTGCATACACCCCACAGGAGGTATTCCAGCGGGGCTTCCTATTAATAGTCTGACATGCATTGTGAGGGGCAAAATGTGCACACGTGACACTCATTGGAGAGCCTCAGCAGTGGGCATTCCATTTACACTGCTGCTTCCCGTGTGTGTGTCGGGGGGCCTCCCTTATAAGTTTATTTTTTTCTGAAATAAAAAACAAATTGTTTAAATTACTTATTTGGCCGGGCGCAGTGGCTCACGCCTGTAATCCCAGCACTTTGGGAGGCCGAGGAGGGTGGATCACTTGAGGCTGCGAGTTCAAGACCAGCCTGGCCAACATGGTGAAACCCCGTCTCTACTAATAATACAAAAATTACCCGGGCGTGGTGGCGCCTGCCTGTAATCCCAGCTACTCACTGCAACCTCCGCCTCCCGGGCTCCAGTGATCCTCGTCCCTCAGCCTCCTGGTATTTGCTGGTTTTAGAGGCGAAGTCTCGGCAGGTCAACCTGGCTGGAGCGCAGAGGCTATTCCTAGGCGCGGTGCCACTACCGACGCGCTCCGTTTTCCACCGGGGCTGCCTCCCTCTTCCCTAGGCGGCCTGGTGGCAGAGGCCACCATACCGATGCCGGCCTCAGTGCGGACCTGGATCGGCACAGCGGACTACAGCACAGAACTCCCCGTCACGCGATTATCCTGCCTCATCCTCCTGAGCAGCTGGAACCTCAGGCACGCGCGGCGCCGGCCCCTGGAGCTCAGAACCGCAGTTAGGACTGCATCCGGCACCAGGCAGCCAGCGGCGAGGGGGACATGGGATCGTGCTGCCATCTGGTGGCTGGATGGGTAGCTGCTGCTTTTTTTTTTTTCTTTTTGAGGCACGGCCTCGCTCTGTGGCCCAGGCTGGACGCAGTCACTCAACAACCGCTCACTGCAGCCTCCATCCCCCACTCCCCCCCGCCCCGGCCCAATACATCCTCCCATCTCAGCCTCCCAAAGTGCTGAGATTACAGGTGTGAGCCACCGCACCGGGCCGGTACCACTTTTTTTTTTTCTTTTGAGACGGAGTATCACCCTATCGCCCAGGCTGGAGTTTAGTGGCTCAATCTCGGTTTACCGCAACCTCTGCCTCCCGGAATCAAGAGAGTCTCCCGCCTTAGCCTCCTGAGTAGCTGAGATTACTGGCGCACGCCACCACGCCCGATTAATTTTTGTATTTTTAGTAGAGATGGAGTTTCACCATGTTGGCCAGGCTGGTCTCGAACTCCTGACTTCAAGTGATCTGACCACCTCCGCCCACCAAAGTGCTGGGATTACAGGCACGAGCCACCGCGCCCGGCGGTAGCATCTCTGAAGAGCTTAAACAAGTGTGGGTAACAGTCTGGGGGAACTTCCACGCAGTTCTGATTGTGCAGCCCAGTCGGGCCTGCTACAGGGATTTGGTGTCCCAGGCCCAGATTATCCCCCAAAGTAGGCATAGCCAGGTGAGGAAAGCCAGAAGTCAGCGACAAATACTGTGCAGTTCCACGTATGTGGAGTATCTAGGGGAGTCAAATTTGTAGAGAGAGGCAGGGCCTGGTGACTAACGTCTGTTATCCCAGGACTTTGGGAGGCTAAGGTGAGTGGATCACTCCTGAGGTCAGGAGTTCGAGACCAGCTTGGCCAACATGCTACTAAAAATACAAAAATACAAAAAATACAAAATTTACTAAAGATACAAAAATTAGCCGGACGTGGTCGTGCGTGCCTGTAATCCCAGCTACTTGTGAGGCTGAGGAAGGAGAATCACTTGGACCCAGGAGACAGAGGTTGCAGTGAACCGAGACTGCACCACTGCCTTGGCACTGCACTCCAGCCTGGGTGGCTAGCAAAACTTTATCTCAAAGAAAACAAATGAACAACAACAACAACGACAACAACAAAAAATTAGCAGGGCATGGTGGTATGCGCCTGTAGTCCCAGCTTCTCGGGAGGCTGAGGCAGGAGAATCACTTGAACCCGGGAGGCAGAGGTTGCAGTGAGCTGAGATTGCACCACTGCACTCCAGCTTGGGCGACAGAGCTGGACTCCATCTCAAAAAAAGAAAAAAGAAAAAAGACAAAAAAATTCGTAGAAACAGAAGGTGGAACCGTGGTTACCAGGGGCTGGGAGGGGGGGGGAATTAGTGTTTAATGGGTGTAGAGTTTCAGTTTCAGATGATGAAAAGATTCTAGAAATAGATGGCTGTGAATGTACTTAGTGTCACTAAACTGTACACTGAAAAATGATTAAATTAGTGCTCGCTTTGGCAACACATATACTAAAATCAGAATGATAGAAGATTCGCATTGCCCCTGCCCGAGGACCACACGCGAATTTGTGAAGCGTTCCATGATTTTATTTTATTTTATTTTATTTTATTTTACTTTATTTTTTGAGACGGAGTCTCGCTCTGTCGCCCAGGTTGGAGTGCAGTGGCGCCATCTCGGCTCACTGCAAGCTCTGTCTCCTGGGTTCACACCATTCTCCTGCCTCAGCCTCCCGAGTAGCTGGGACTACAGGCGCCCGCCACCAAACCCGGCTAATTTTTTGTATTTTTAGTAGAAATGGGGTTTCACGGTGGTCTCGATCTCCTGACCTTGCGATCCGCCCACCTCGACCTCCCAAAGTGATGAGATTACAGGTGTGAGCCACCATGCCCGACCAAAGCATTCCATATTTTTAAACAGAGATATAGACCAATGGAACAGAACAGGAGCCTCAGAAATAACACCACACATCTACAACCATCTGATCTTTGACAAACCTGACAAAAACAAGAAATGGAAAAAGGATTCCTTATTTAATAATGCTGCTGGGAAAACTGGCTAGCCACATGCAGAAAACAGAAACTGGACCCCTTTCTTATACCTTATACAAAAATTAACTCAAAATAGATTAAAGACTTAAATGTAAAACCCAAAAACCATAAAAACCCTAGAAGAAAACTTAGTTAATACCATTCAGGATATTGGCATGGGCAAAGACTTCATGACAAAACGCCAAAAGCAATGGCAACAAAAGCCAGAATTGACACATAGAATGTAATCAAACTAAAGAGCTTCTGCACAGCAAACAAAACTATCCTCAGAGTGAACAGGCAACCTACAGAATGGGAGAAAACTTTTGCAAGCTACCCATCTGACAAAGGGCTCATATCCAGAATCTAGAAGGAACTTAAATAAATTTACAGGAAAAAAACAACCCCATCAAAAAGTGGGTAAAGGATATGAACAGACACTTCTCAAAAGAAGACATTTATGCGGCCAACAAACATATGAAAAAAAGCTCATCATCACTGGTCATTAGAGAAATGCAAATCAAAACCACAATGAGATACCATCTCATGCCAGTTAGAATGGCGATTATTAGGGGCCGGGTGCGGTGGCTCATGACTGTAATCCCAGCACTTTGGGAGGCCGAGGCGGGTGGATCATGAGGTCAGAAGACCGAGACCATCCTGGTTAACACGGTGAAACCCCATCTCTACTAAAAATACAAAAAATTAGCTGGGCATGTGGCAGGCGCCTGTAGTCCCAGCTACTCGGGAGGCTGAGGCAGGAGAATGGCGTGAACCTGGGAGGCAGAGCTTGCAGTGAGCCAAGATCGCGCCACTGCACTCCAGCCTGGGTGACAGAGCAAGACTCCGTCTCAAAAACAAAAAACAAAAACAAAAAAAAACAAAACAGAATGGCGATTATTAAAAAGTCAGAAAACAACATGCTGGCGAGGCTGTGGAGAAATAGGAACACTTTGACACTGTTGGTGGGAGTATAAATTAGTTCAGCCATTGTGGAAGACATTGTGGCGATTCCTCAAGGATCTAGAACCAGAAATACCATTTGACCCAGCAGTCCCATTACTGGGTATATACCCAAAGCATTATAAATCCTTCTACTATAAAGACACATGCACACGTATGTTGATTGCAGCACTATTTACAATAGCAAAGACTTGGAACCAACCAACCCAAATGTCCATCAATGATAGACTGGATAAAGAAAATGTGGCATATATACACCATGGAATACTAAGCAGCCATAAAAAAGAATGAGCTCATGTCTTTTGCAGAGACGTGGATGAAGCTGGAAGCCATCATTTTCAGCAAACTAACACAGGAACAGAAAACCAAACACTGCATGTTCTCACTCATAAGTGGGAGGTGAACAAGAGAACACATGGACACAGGGAGGGGAAGATCACACACTGGGGCCTGGCTAGGGGTGGGGGACAAGGGGAGGGACAGCATTAGGAGAAATGCCTAAGGCATGCAGGGCCTAAAACCTAGATGACGGGTTGACAGGTGCAGCAAACCATTATGGCATGTGTATACCTGTGTAAGAAACCTGCACGTTCTGCACATGAATCTCAGAACTTAAAGTAAAATTTTAAAAAATAAATAAAATTTAAATTTAAAAAATTATTAAAATAGGCTGGGCATGGTGGCTTAAGCCTGTAATCCTAATTACTCAGGAGGCCGAGGTGGGAGGATCCCTTGAGCCCAGGAGGTTGATGCTGCGGTGATCTGCGAGGGCACCACTGTACTCCAGCCTGGGTGACAGAGTGAGATCATGTCCCCCCCCAAAAAAAAAAAAAAAGAAAAAAGAAAAAGGTTAAATTGGTAAATTTTGTTATATATTTTACCACAATAAATAGAATGGAAGTAGAGGCTGAGAGGCTGTTGAATTAGGTACTGTGGAACACTTCAAGGAAGCAAAAATAGCAAATATTGGACAGCAAAAGACTGAATGGGCTCCATCCTTTCAGCCTGCTGGGGCTGGGGCCTCCACGGTCCCCTGGGTTAAGGTTTCAGCATCCACCGTGAGATGCCATTTGTTCTTTTCCATTGGAAGAACATGTCAAATCGGGCTGTTAAACGGAGAAACAGAGGGGATAGTCACCCCTTCTCTCAATCCTTGAAGTCCCTGTTTTAATGTATTTTGGGTCATATTAACGATTTTAATGGCTTGGGCAGGTCTTCAGGGTCTCGTCTGCCAAGACCAACAGTAAGGGACAAAGTGTGGGTTTTATTCCAATTGGAGCATCCATCCCAGTGATGGAAATTCAAGAGCAGAAAGAACTGAGACCACTGGAATATTCTGCAAAGCTATTACACCAGTGATCAGAGTGAGGCGGACTTGTTTGACTTCAATCTTATGCCCCAGGGAACAGAGGGAGTTCATCCCTTACATTTAGTGGGGTCTTTGCGGAAACAGTGTCAATTAAGGCCATAAAAGTTTGCTTAGTGCGTGGGAACCAGTGGACATTTGTGAATGCAATTGTCCTCTGTAGTGGCGAGGGTCAAGGAGTGTGCTGTGTCCTTAGCAAGGCTGGAGTGGTCACGGATGCTCCATTTTGGGGGATGTGATGTGGGCTCACATCTTGAGGATTTGGGTTTGGATTCTCCGTATAACTTGTTTTAGAAGCGCCTGGACCTCTTTGGGGTCTTACCGTAAATCTGATTATCGGGGAAGCCCAGGTTGCAAAGTTGCCAATCCCAGGGCTGTGTGTGGGGTGGCCGTGGAAGTTCTGAAACGGGGGCCCTTTCCTTATCAGTAGGGTTTGGTGCTTTGGGATGAGAAGACAGAGTCCTGGAATCAATCATTCCAGGCCATCGAGGGCCTCTGTAGGAGTAGTCACACGGGGCCAGGCATGGTGGTTCACACCTGTAATCCCAGCACTTTGGGAGGCCAAGGTGGCAGGATTACTTAAGGCGAGGAGTTCAAGACCAGTCTGGGCAACACAAGGAGACCCCATCTCTACAAAAACTAAAAGCAATTACCCAGGCATGGTGGAGTGTGTCTGTAGTCCCACTACTCAGGAAACCGAGGCAGGATCACTTGAGCCCACAAGTTCGAGGCTACAGTGAGCTGTGACTGCGGCACCACACTCCAGCCTGGGTGAGAGAGGGAGATCCTGTCTGTAAAAAAAAATAAAACAAAAGTGTAGTCACTTGACTAGTAAGGGGAGCTGTACAGCCTTCTAATTTGTAGGGTCTCCCCTGAAAAATAACTGCCAGATGCCTGTGTCAAAAGCCTTTCTCCTAGAACACCACGGGGTTGGGCCTCACTCCAGTTCTTCTGCCATACTTCTCCAACTCTTCCTTAAACTCTAATCCATGAATCCAGAGTAGGAGTTGGCAAGCTACAGCCTCCAGGCCAAATCTAGCTCACTGTGCATTTTCTTTTCTTTTCTTTTTTCTTTCTTTTATTTTCTTCCTTTCTTTTCCTCCCTCCTCCCTTTCCCCTTCCCTTCCCCTTTCCTATCCTTTCCTTTCCTTTTTGACAGGGTCTCACCCTGTTGCCCAGGCTGGAGTGCAGTGGTGCACTAAACCTCGACAGATCGCTTTAATGATTGGCATCAGTAGTAAAGGGTCGGTCTGCGGCAGGAGGGGGCTTTTGGGTTTTTGCTTTTGGGTCGCTTGGTTTTTAATTTTTTTTCTTCTCCTTTTTCTGTGAAGCTTAAGGGCCACCGTAGCTGAAAGCCTTGCCGCTGAATGCCGAAACGTAACCTTCCCTGGCTGCTGTATAGATAACATGCGTAAGCCACCATGGTCACAGCTTCTTCGGTCGTTTTTCAGGAACTTAGACCAGCTCCTGTCCAGTTCAAACTGGTTGAGACCACTAACCCTTCAACTGGGCCTGCGCAAGTGCCCAAAACGTGGCCTTTTGACATTGGAGGGCCAAAAACTCTGCCTTCAGCTCATGCTAATGCTACCCTTTTCTGTACACGTGTCCTGTGAAATGCCATGAACTCCAGCCATGCTCACACAGAACGAAGCTGTCACTTATCTTCGGGGGACGTGGATTTGAGAGATGTTGTCCCACCTCCCCGCTCAGTGCCCTTGCGAATAAATCTTTTCTCTTTTGCAAAACCGTGTCATAGTGGTTGATTTACTGTGCCAGCAGAAATGCACACTAACCTGGATGGCAACAAAAGGCTGGAGGTCATGCCCAAGTATGCTGTGGGGGTGGGCAGAGGACTACCATGCCCAGCCAATTTTTTTTTTTTTTTTGGTAGAGACAGGGTTTCACCATGTGGGCCAGATGGTCTCTATCTCTTGACCTCGTGATCCGCCTGCCTCAGCCTCCCAAAGTGCTGGGATTACAGGCGTGAGCCACCACGCCCAGCCAGTATGTAGGCTTTTCATATTTGATTCTTCCACTTAGTATTATAATATGCACTAAAGGCTTTCCCGTGTCTTTTCATGGGTTGATAGCTTATTTCTTTTCAGCATTGAATAATACTCCATTGTCTGGATATACCAGAGTTCAGTTCAACAACTTGGTTTGTGAACTTCCAAGTTTCTTGGTTCCTTCCAAGCTTTGGCAGTTATGAATAAAGGTGCTATAAGCATCCATGTGCAGGTTTTTGTGTGGACATAAGTTTCCAACTCATTTGACTAAATACCAGGGAGTGTGATTGCTGGGTCACATGGTAAGAGTATGCTTAGTTTTATAATAAACTGCCAAACTGTCTTCCAAAGTGGCTGCACCACTTTATAATCCCATTGGCAATGAGTGCTGTTGTCAACGTTTTGAATTTTGGCCGTCCTAATATGCGTGTTGTGGAATCTCATTGTTTTAATTTGTAATTCCCTAAATGACATAAAACGTGAAGCATTTTTTCCATATGTTTATATCTGTTTATCTTTTTTGGTGAGGTATCTGTTCAGATATTTTGCCCACTTCTAAGTCAGGTTGTTCATTTCCTCCCTCCCTCCCTCCGTCCCTCCCTCTTTTTTCTTTTCTTTTTCTTCTTTTCTTTCTTTTCTTTTCTTTTCTTTTTTGAGACAGAGTCTCACTCTGTCACCCAGGCTGGAGTGCAGTGGCTCGATCTCAGCTCACTGCAACCTCTGCCTCCCCGGTTCAAGCGATTCTCCTGCCTCAGCCTGCTGAGTAGCTGGAATTACAGGCATGTGCCACCATGCCTGGCTAACTTTTTGTATTTTTAGTAGAGACGGGGTTTCACCGTGTTAGCCAGGATGGTCTTGATCTCCTGACCTCGTGATCGACCTGCCTCAGCCTCCCAAAGTACTGGGATTACAGGTGTGAGCCACTGCACCAGGCCTTTTTTTTTTTTTTTTTTTTTGAGATAAAGTTTCATTCTTGTCACCCAGGTTGGAGTGCAATGGCACGATCTTGGCTCGATGGAACCTCTGCCTCCTGGGTGCAGGCGATTCTCCTGCCTAAGCCTCCCAAGTAGCTGGGAATACAGGCGTGTGCCACCACACCTGATTAATTTTTGTATTTTTAGTAGAGACGGGGTTTCACCATGTTGGCCAGGATGGTCTTGAACTCCTAACCTCAGGTGATCCGTCCACCTTGGCCTCCCAAAATGTTGGGATTACAGGTATGAGCCACCGTGCCCAGTCATTCATGTTCTTATTGTTGAGTTATAAGAGTCCTTTTTGGCCAGGCACGGTGGCTCACACCTGTAATCCCAGCACTTTGGGAGGCCGAGGCAGGCGGATCACAAGGTCAAGAGATCAAGACCATCATGGCTAACAGGGTGAAACTCTGTCTCTACTAAAAACACAAAAAAATTATTCGGGCGTGGTGGCAGGTACCTGTAGTCCCAGCTACTTGGGAGGCTGAGGCAGGAGAATGGCATGAACCTGGGAGGCAGAGGTTGCAGGGAGGCAGAGGTTGCAGTGAGCCGAGATCACGCCTCTGCATTCCAGCCTGGGTGACAGAGCGAGACTCCGTCTCAAAAAAAAAAAAAAAAAAAGTTCTTTTTAAGATAACAGTCCTGTATCAGACTGTCAGATACGTCTTTTTTCCACTTCATGAGAAGTACAAGTATCTTATAATAAAACAGTTCTAATTTCTCTCTCCTATCCCTTGAATCATTGCTGCATTTCACTTATACATAGCTGTAATGATTGAAAACATTGTTGCTATTATTATTTTGAACAATATGGTTCAAAATAAGGTTGTATATTAAGCCTTATTGTATAGATCAATTAAGAATAAGAAAAATATAAATTTTAAATTTTAGTTACACTTATTTTTTCTCTCCTGCGCTTCCATTCTTCATGTAGATTTGAATTTCTGATCTATATTTTCTTTTTATAGTATATCTTATATTAAATATAGATAACATATAAAAATATATATAACATTATATGTATTTTATTAAACATGTATATATACATATATAAATATATATAACATATATGTATTTTATTAAACATATATATATACATATATAAATATATATAACATACATGTATTTTATTAAATATTATATTATTTCTCTGAAGAACTTCTTTTAACATTTCTTGCAGGGCTGGTCTACTGACAACAAATTTCTTCAATTTTTATTTGTCTGAGAACATATTTATTGCGACTTCCTTTTTGAAGGATAATCTCATAGGGTTCAGAATTCTAGGTCGGTGGGTTTTTTCTCTCAAGACTGTAAATATTTCACTCCACTCTTTTTGTTTTGATGGTTTCTGTGAAGAAGTCTAATGCAAGTCTTATCTTTGCCTTTTCCTCCTTGGCTTCTTTCAAGATTTTTTTCTTCATCTTGATTTTTTTTTTTTTTTTAGTTTGAAAATATGCCTAGGTATAGGCTTTTTGGCATTTATCCTTCTTGGCGTTCTCTGAGCTTCCTGGATTTGTGGTTTCATGCCTTTCATACCTGAAATTAATTTTGGAAAATTCTCACTCATTGTCGCTTCAAATGGCATTTTATACTTTGCCTTTAAGTACAGCTTGTAATTTTTAATTGAATGCCGAATATGTGGTGTCTTGTGGTGTGGTGATAAGGTGTGTGGGAGGACAAGGATACTACAGTCCTATGACGAGGTCTCTGTCTTTTAGGCACCCTGGGCTGTGACCTTCACAAGGATTTCCCAGTTTTTTTTCCACCTTAAGTGTGACAGGACAGTTAGAGAGGGCTGGAGTTGGGCATTTTCCTTTCCCCGGGTTGCTAGGCTCTGATAAAATTCCAGTAGGTCAAGGTTTGACAAAAGAGTTTATACTGAGGGGCGGCCATGTCAAGAGCAGAATGCTCTGGGTATGCTTCCTTTTTTTTTTCTTTTTGTCGTTTGCCATACCTTCAGATGGCGTGGGTATATTTCAAAATGGCTTCTCTTCTCCTTTTGCTAGAAGCACGAAGGGATTTTTCTCCAATCTTCATTGTGAAAATCTGGTAGAGCTCATGGAGGTAAGATCACAAAAGTGTGGGCTTGCCTAACAGGCGTGCACTACCACACCCAGCTAATTTTTACATTTTTAGTAGAGACAGGGTTTCACCATGTTGGCCAGGCTGGTCTCGAACTCCTGACCTCAAGTGATCCCCCAGCCTCGGCCTCCCAAAGTGCTGGGATTACAGGAATAAGCCACCATACCCGGCCTCCTTGGGGTTATTTTCCTATTTATTTATTTATTTATTTATTTTTTGAGACGGAGTCTTGCTCTGTGGCCCGGGCTGGAGTGCAGTGGCCGGATCTCAGCTCACTGCAAGCTCCGCCTCCCGGGTTCACACCATTCTCCTGCCTCAGCCTCCCGAGTAGCTGGGACTACAGGCGCCCGCCACCTCGCCCGGCTAGTTTTTTGTATTTTTAGTAGAGACGGGATTTCACCGTGTTAGCCAGGATGGTCTCAATCTCCTGACCTCGTGATCCACCCGTCTCGGCCTCCCAAAGTGCTAGGATTACAGGCTTGAGCCACCGCGCCTGGCCCCTATTTATTTATTTATTGAGATGGAGTTTTGCTCTTGTTGCCCAGGCTGGAATGCAATGGCACCATCTAGGCTCACTGCAACTTCCGCCTCCTGGGTTCAAGCGATTCTCCTGCCTCAGCCTCCTGAGTAGCTGGGATTACCATGATGCGCAGCTAATTTTGTATTTTTAGTAGAGACGGAGTTTCTCCATGTTGGTCTAGCTTGTCTCAAACTCCCGACCTCAGGTGATCCTTCCGCCTTCACCTCCCAAAGTGCTGGGATTACAGGCATGTGTCACTGTACCCAGCTCCTTGGGGTTTTTAATCTCAAACCTGGCCACGCTGAGCCTCCAGCAAGTATAATGACAGGGTAGGTTTCTTGCCCCAGCACTGGTTCCTCTGCAGGTTCCTGCTCATGGGTCTGTACTCCAGGAATTTGTGGTTCTGTCCGTATCCTCTTCTCTGTATCTTCAACTTCAGATGTGACACTGTTCCCTGTGGCCTCAATTCTCTGAGAGATCTAAGAGGAGTTGTTGATTTTCAATTTGTTCAGATTTTTACCTGTTGTTAGGATGGAGTAATGACTTTCAAGCTCCTTCAATGCCAGCCCAGGGCCACTTTTCACATGTGCCATGTCACTGAACACCAGGGGTGTTTTTCTCCAACCCTGAGGAGCAGGATATTTGTTCTGACAGAGGCATGGGAGGCAGCAGCTATAGAAGCATTTAAGCCTCATGGGGTGAGCCATCTACTTTTAGGAGTATAGATCTAGGCATGTCACATGGCTTTCCTTTTAAAACACTAATCCCAGCTGTTCAGAATGGTCTCCTGTTATGTCCTGACCAAAATGCTTGCTGGAAACGTTACGTTTTGCTTCCCCGGCAAAATACTAAGTCTAGGGTGATAGCCCCCAAGAGTCTTTTGGTTTACGTCCCTAAGCTCCCACTCTGCATGCCTGTGCAACCCACCCTCCATCGAAACCCTGGACACTACAGCTTGGGTGAGCTTCTCTAGTTAGCAGCATTTTGCTTGTGTTGTCACACATTGTTGCTGAAAGAATTAACTGTGTCCCCACGCAGCTCCATGGGGAGGGGACACTTGGAAGCTTGTGCCTGGTTTCCTCTGGAAAAGACTCTGCTGATTTTAGTCTGTATCCTTTCGTTGTAACAAACCATAACTGTTCTGAGCCCTATGAGTCCCTCTA